AATGTAAATCAAAACTATATTGAGATTTCATCTTATTCAATTAAAATGGCAGCCATTAAGAGTATGAATAATAATAAATATTGGAGAGGATGTGGGAGAAAAGGAACTCTTATACACTGTTGGTGGGACTGTAAATTAGTACAACCACTATTAAAAAATCATTGTGAAGGTTCCTCAGAACACTAGTAATGGAACCATCATATGACCCAGCTATATCATTCCTTAGTATTTATTCTAAAGAATTCAATTCAGGGCTGGGGTTGTGTCTCAGTGGTAGAGCACTTGCCTAGCACTTGTGAGGCCCTGGGTTCGATTCTCAGCACCACATATAAATAAATAAAATGAAGGTTTATTGACAACAACAAAAAAAAGAGAATTCAAGTCAGTATCCTATAGTAATACATGCATACCATATTTATATCAGCACAATTCACAACAGCGAAATTATGGGACCAGCCTAGGTGTCATATCAGTGGGTGCATGGATAAAGAAAAGGTTGTATATATACACAGTGGAGTTTTATTCGCTATGAAGAAGAATGAAATTGTGGCATTTGTAGGAAAATGGATGGAACTAGAAAACATCATGTTAAGCAAGATAAGTCAAACTAAGAAGGTCAAGGGTTTTCTCTCATGTGGAAGCTAGAGATGGGAGCCTATGTTTCTGTCAACCTAGGTTCCTTTAGCCATGAAGAAGAATGAAATTATGTCATTTGTAGGAAAATGGATGGAAGTTTGAGATTATTTTATTGAATGAAATAAAGCCAAATTCAGTAAGTCAAGGTTCGTATGTTTTCTTTCATATGTGAAAGCTAGAGAGATAAAGGGGAGAGGAGAGCGGGGAGGAAAATTATGAAAATAGAAAGGAGGCAAATAGAGTAGAGGAAGGGAACCCRGGGGAGGGGGTGGAGGAGAGGTATTAGGGAATGAAATTGACCAAATTATATTGTTGTATTGTGTGCATATATAAATATGTAACAGTGAATCCCACTATTATGTATAATTATAATGCACCAATTAAAAAAAAAAAAACGAATCAGTGGACTGTTCCAGGAATGGCTTCAAGGCAGAAAAGAAGAATTTCATATCCCAAGAGAATCTGGTGTATAGCCCAAGGGGTCTTACCTTCAGAACAAATTATCTTTGGTGGCTTGTGTTTGATCTCAGTTCATAAAGTTTATATTCTCTATAGCTGTTTGTTTTAATATAAAGACAATAGTGGATTTTGTTTTCAAAACTGAGTATTCACATTGCTATTTATATTTCTAGAAAATGCCCATCATTCATCCTGTAGCCACCCAGCACAGTGATGTGTGCTCCAAGGGTACTCAGTGGCCAACTTGCAGGCGACCAGCAAGGGATATTAACATGCAAAGTAGGAATTGAAATCTTTATTGTATTTTATAATGAAGTATTATATTTTTTTTTAACACAGAGGGGTTCAAAAAGTGGCTTAGCATCTTCCTGCCCTGATAATCCTCGTTGAAATATACAAAGACAATGTGTTAAAGAAAATTAAAAAGTTAAACAGGACTAACAGAACAAATGAAACAAAAATGACCTCCACTCCAGTCCCTTTCAACAAATTTAATCATGGGTGGGATGTGTTTTGTAATCCCTCTGAGAAAGATATTGTGTGTTTATACTGTCTGTGTGTGTACATATTTATTTACACAATGGGAATTATACACATTGTTTTGAAACTTGCTTTTTCACTTAATATATCTTGACCTGTTTTCATTCGTATCAGTGTATGCAGATCATCTTGTGAGTGGTAGTAGAATATTCCTTAGTAATTCTAGATTTCATTTAACTAACTTGATTGCTGTGTAGCAATGGCAAGTCTCAAACATTATGCCATTATCTCACTGTATCATAACAGGAAAACAGGATGTTGTGAAAAAGATTCTTAGATTGGATGGGAGACTGAAAATCTGAAATTTGAAATGGGAGACAGAAATCTAGATTTGTCATTGCTTTGTAGTACCTACCACGTGTGAGATCCAGTCTTCTCTGCCTGCCTGTTCTTGGATTTTGCCAAATATAGAATAACTTAGTAAAAGAGGTAGACTTTGGACTTTCTTGGGCAATCCTGCCTATTTCATTGATTCAGTTATTAAACATATATATGCTTATGAAGAGCTTYCTTGCTTTCCTTAGAATAATTTTGACTCTGGTGGGGCAGGGAGGCATGTCTGTAGGTCATTTCAATACCATATGACAAACTCTATGGCAGAGATAAGCTTAACATGTTCTAGCAGCAGGCCTGGGGGGCATTCAGTCCACCTGGAAGTGAGATGCATGTGTGTGCTAAAGAATGATGCCCAACATTTGCAGGTAAATGGATGGAGTTGGGGAATATAATGCTAAGTAAAGTTAGCCAATCCTAAAAAACCAAATGCCAGATGTTTTCTCTGATATAAGGAGGCTGATTCATAATGAGGTTGGGGGGAGCATGGGAGGATTAGATGAACTCTAGATAGGGCAAAGGGGTGGGAGGGGATGGGAGGAGGCATAGAGCTGAAAAGACAGTGGAATGAGATGGACATCATTACCCTAAGTACATGTATGAAGACACAAATGGTGTGACTTTGTATACAGCCAGAGATATGAAGAATTGTGCTCTATATGTGTAATATGAATTGTAATGCATTCTCCTGTCATATATAACAAATTAGAATAACTTTTTTTTTTTTTTTAAAGTATGAGGCCCAAGCTGAGTTGCAAGATAGGTCAGAGTCACCAGGTAGAGGAGGGGAAAGGGCATTTCAGCTCAGGGAGCAAAGAGGTAAGAAGTAGCATGAAGAGTATGGGGAAACTGTAAGAGGTTTAGTTTTCAAAAGATAAAAGTTGAGGCAGGAAGTGAGATGAACAGMGACCTATTCATGGAGGGCCTTGTGCAACCATGTTATTCGTGATTGTTAAGCCAATAGATATGCATGTCTTTTATGTAACAATAAAATACTCTATTATTATTCTTTGGAACTCTAGAAATCATATCTCTAATTTGCTACAACTGTAAAATTGAGCCAACTATTAACTTAATTTTGAGTCCAGGATCCTTGGTTTAGTCTGATTTCACATGGTCTTCAGAGCACCTGGAACAATAAGTGACCATTTTACAAAAGTTCACCAGAGTTGACTGCATGGGAGAACAGCACAACAGAGGGAGCTCAAATCCATCTCCACTGTCAGGAAAAAAGCAAGAAGGACTTGGCCTGCAGTGTCTTTGAGGGCCCAAGATGTYCCATCACTGGCACCACTGTCCTGTCAGAAGATATAGGAACATAGCCAACACACATAACATATGTGTTGGGTACAAAAGAGAGTTGGACAGAATCTGGATGTGATGATCCCATCTCATTAACAGAAGTTAATACTTATTTTACTTTGACTTCTGAGTSTCTTTACTTCTAGTATTTCCATATTTCCTTAAATGCTAGTTATCAAGTATAAGGTTAATGAAAAGCACTGGAAAGAATACAGGATCTCAAAGGAAAGACCTCATTACTTTATTAAAAGGAGAGATAAATTAATTTTATGCACAAAATAGGGTCAAGACTGTTATGGAGAAGTACATTTTGTAGGAAGGAAAGAAGCGTTCCCTGTTGATCTCACCACAATTCACTTATTTATATCCTTTTATTTCTCTCCATACATAAAACTTTCTTGGAATCATCCATAATGGAATTCCAGGAAGATGTGTGAAATATGTGCTATAGTTTACAGTTGTCATCTGTAATGTTTTATTTAGCTGAACCTTTTTCTTTAATTTTCCCTCCACTGCTCCCAATACAACACAAAACACCATATGCCATTGTCCCTGTTAGGAAGCAAAGGTTTCCCTGGCCTGTGTCTGTGCCTTCGTTTATGCCACAGAGGAGCTGTGGTCCAGTGCCATCTTTTATTGATAGGGCCAGCAAAGGAGAAATCTAATGAAATTATCAAAGCTTTGAATTAATTATGACCTGGAAGAGGAGAGCTGAGCTCTCTGGAGCCAGGGATCTCATTACCCATTCACTCTCATTGCCTCCTCTTCTGGAGCAGAAGGCATTTCAGCTGCAGCTCTTAGCCTGGGCTTTGGACTTTATTCAAACTTACTAAACTGACATCCTCCTTTTACTACAGCGAGGCTGATAATGTCCATGATGATTAATTTAGCTCTGCTCTGGATCTGCTGGAGATGTAAATAGGTTTTCTCTACCTACCCTTCCTTTTCCCTTTTCCTATTTTTCCCCTTATTTTCTTTCATCAAATTGGATGTTATACAGTTTTTCTTATTTTTGGGTAATGTGAGAACCTTTCAGGACTGTGGTGTAGCTTCATGGAATATAGTTATTGGTGCAAAATTAAGAGCAATATTGCATCTACTGTGTATTTCATGGATGTTTAGGTAAGCACAAAGTCAAATATTTTTCTTTGAATTTTGAGCACCAAATTGAAGTTTTTCTTGCTTGTTTCTACTGGAGAGATGATGGTTTAGCAATGCTCTCCTGGTCTTAACTGCATCATTCACATTTCCGAAGTGTGTTGTGTGGGAACAGATCTCCCTCATGGTTATAGTTATAGGACTTCTGCTCCCTAATAGGGAGTATTCATGTTTGCCTAAAGATTTTTTTTTCCTTCTCTCACTAACATGAATTTTCTGATGCATAAATCAGCCTCTGATTGTTCTAAGTCTAGCAGCAAAATCAATAACAACAAGGTTTTGATTTACTATTGGTGAAGATTCTTTTGGTGCTGTCACACAGGTTCGGAGCATCTCATGGCAAGCCTTTCTGCCTGCTTTGAGACCCATTATTTATGAATTCCTAAGCTGCAGCTCATCTGTCTTAGTAAACTACAGGCCACTGGCAATTTTTGTAAGCAGTGACTAACTCTGCTCAATAGGGTCAATGTTTTAAGGTTTTGAGTAGTGGGGGAAGGGAAAATGATAATCTTTGCTTTTCCTATTCTTGTTTACTTTCAGTGAGCTTTTCCTCCCATTTATTTTTTCTATAGGCAGCTGCGATATTTAATTCAGCCTTCGGAAGTTTTTTGGTAAGTAAACATGGTTTAACTTGTCTATTATAACTTGTTGTGATGTTGTTTATATGAAAGATTTAGTAAAAGATGGACATTTTTTACTTTTTGGTTTATATGAAAATTCTTGAACCTTTTTATGTGCCATTATCCATACCCTAAAGAAAATTGGTTAATGAATAAAGTAAATGTCCTCTTATAATTATTTTGGAGGCTTGGATTTAATATTCTATGTAATGGATTCAAGGAATCAATTAAAACACTATGTATCTCCTTATAGAGGTTATGTCAATATATTGATCAATTAATGAGGTCTTTTAGATTATTATTATTTCGTATCATGGGACTGAGATTTTGAAAAGGAAACATGACCCAGCTGGTCAGAAAGGGAATGCTAATTTATTTGTTGACATGTCATTTATTTTGTACCTTTCACTGTCAAAGAAGCTACTGTCTTGGATACTTCTGAGAAATCTTTGTGAAAAAATTTTGACATGAGGATATAATTAATGAGCGATTTGCAAGATAATGTAGTACATTGAGAGGTTTGAATTGAGTTAGGTTAAAAAAGATTGAAAAGTAGTTCAGCTATCATAAGTAGAACTARTATTAAGCATGTTACTTTAGCTTTTTAAAATAGATGATATAACAAAGACTTGATTTTTTGTTATGAAAGAATGGAAAAGAGACTGAATTTTCTGTTAATGTTATTATTTATATCATAAAACTTTGGTAAATTTGTGAAAATAAATTAGAACATTGTATTTTTAGGTGCATAACTCATTGACAATATGTGGTATGGTAATTTAGAAATGATTGAGAATAAAATCAGTGGGGGTATGATGACCTATTTTATATAAAATAGGTAAAATATCAGTTACATATTTTGAAAATGCCCTTTATGTCACCTATTATTGTATTGTATGTAACTAAATTTAGTTAAAGCTTCTAAACACACTGGTACATGGTGTTAACTCCACGTGGTGCTCCATAGCTTTTAATGTCTATAGCCCTACAGAACTTTTACTGGTGTAGCTTTCACAAAGTACATGATATTTTACTTGAGCAGTAATGTTTCTAGTGATGCTGTTATTATTGGATTTTAGAGAAGTAATAAAGCCTATTTTTAAAAGAGATCTCTTATTCTACTTAGTTTAGACTCAGTAATATTTTGTCAAATCATTCTTTCTTGTGTCCAAGTGTTATTACCTATGTTGTCCCAGTTGTTTGGCAGAATAATATTTATAAAATATGATCTTTCTGGAAGCCAGTGTTTGTATGGTTTGAAATTGTACATATGCACCACAAAACATGGCTTCTTGAGTTAGGGGCTCTTAGGCTTGAAAATGTCAAGGCTAACTGATAAAGTAAAACTCAGGCAATTGTCTGAAGCAAAGTTTATTGTCCCTTCATTGGAGGACAGCTTACTAAGGATAATTTGAACTTCACACCGACTGTCTGAGCCTATAATGATATTTTCCTGCCAGGCCCAGTTGTTCAATAAGGTCCTTCGAGGTAAACCTCCATCCAGAGTTTCTTTAGGAGTTTATTATTGCTCCTTCACTTTAAGAAGTTGTGTTTTCCCATTCCTTAATATCCTTCTCTTTTTCCTTTCTTCACTTTCATTTCTTACCTTAATACAGTTAATCAATCAAAAGTATTTATTGATCTCCTGCCACACAGAGGTAGTTTTCTGGTAGCTGTGGAAAGGTGCAGAGAAATATGAGGTATGTCCCACTAGGTTGTGGAGGTGACACATAGTGAAAGAAATACAACGTAACAGTTAACAAGCTGCACAAAAGATGTTGCAGAGGTGTAGATTGTCAGATGAAGAGCAGAGGCAGTGAGCACTCTGAATTCAGGGGCCTCACAGACCAGATTTCTTTGATCTGGGCCTTGAAATACTGGTAGGACCTGGTGGCCTTCTACGAGGAAATGGCACCAGCAGAGACCCAGAGGCAGAAATGCCTTTCCCACTTCCCTCTCCCATTCCTTCCCCTCCTCTTTCTTTCCCAAAGCYGAAAATGACCGAGAGAGTCTGAGAATGGAAATGGTGATTGGATATATTTTGCTTCAGTGTTTGTAAGGAAAATAATTCTATTTCTTCCCCCATTCTTTGACAAGTAATAGCAAACCTTGGATTTTGAAATACATGTGGGTCCGAATTGTATAAGTGAGCATTAGGTTCAACTTCTTTAATAGTAATCCCTTTACAAATGACAGTGGCTTATACAAGATAAAGATCTGTTTCCCTATTATATAAAGTCTGTGGGAAGGYTGTCCAAACATGGTATAGCAACTTGCTAGTCAAGACTCCTGTCTTTCTCTTCTACCATTCACAGCATGCAGTGTCCTTCCTCTGTTGCCTCATGGTCAAGGGTARTTGCTGTAGCTCCAGCCAAAACATCTGGATAGTAAGGAAAAGTAGTGGAAAAGGACAGAGAGCCCCCTAAGAGCCAAGTCTTCTTTCTTTAAGCAGCATTCCTGGAATTCCAACACCATACTTGCATTAATATCATGGTGTTATAGTTACTTGGGAATTTTCTATATGAATGGAAGCTAACCCCCCTCTCCTTAAAATGTATGATTACGAGTCGTAGTATTTTAGGAGTTTCTGGAGTCAGACTATCTGGGTTTAGATCCTCGCTTGACTGAATACCAGACTGACCAGATGCCCTTCCCTATGTATAAAATGGGGTATGATAGTACCCACATAGAGAGTGTGGTGAGGCTAAAGTGCTATAATCTATAGCAAGTGCTTGTATGATGTGATAAAAATCGCTGTGAGTGATTTTTCTCTGATTAGGAGCAAYGATTCATGTTATATATTCATATTAGAATTTGAAAAGTGTATTTTTTTCAGATTACCAAAACTTTGAATGAAAGGCCTTTAATAGAAGAATTTTTGAAGAAAGAACTCTGAGGGTGTTCTTGTTGATTTTCAGGCATCTKGGTATACCAAATAAAATACTGTACATATTTATAGCTAGTTTAATAATGTCCCAGGTCTAATTAAAACACAGTGTTTTTAAAAAGTAATTGATGCAGAAAATTGTTTTTTTTTAAAGAAATGTAGCTAGACTGGTAATAACTAATGATAGATGAATTCAATTTACATAAATTTCAGACCAAGAGAATATTTTAAAATTGTGCCACAGAGGATTGCTTAAGTTAAGAAGTTAATGTCATTATCTCTTCCTCTCATTTAAATTGTTCAGTTTATAATAATTGTGGAACATAATAAGTGATTTGAGATTTCCTTCTTGATGAGGCTTTAATAAAATTTGATAGTCAAGTGCACCCTGAAATGCTMTCAAAATTTATATACATATACACTTTGTGTGTGTAAAACCATGTGTTTCAGGTTCAATCATCTTACATATTAAAATTCCCCATCAGAAGAAGGGTTGTTTGCTTGTTTAGATATTGGCAATTTTTTGAAAAATTCCAATTGAGAAATTATTTTCCAAAGGTTTAACACTGTTAAATAATTTTTTCCCCAAACCAAATATAGATCACATTATTTGTTAGCATTTAGCATTTTTTGTTGTTGTTGTTTGGAGGTTAAATTCGGTGTTTCCATGTCTCCCAAGACTTACAGATTAAAGATTAAAAGGAAAAGAAAGAACACTTCTTGTTGGATTACTCAGCCTATTTTCTTATTTGTGGTGACTCCTGATCTTAAAGAGAAACCCTAGTGAGTGACAAAGTTAGTCGTGCTGTTGCGTTTCCAGTAACCGGTGTTATACAACACTGGAGCAATCCACGGCAACACAGATGTAAGGATTTCTGAAACCGCAGCAAAGAGTCAGAAGAGAGGTTTGACCACCTTGTGAATGCATAACAGCTGGTCTCATGAAGACCTATGAATCACTGTTCGCTTTCTGAAAATCTTCATTTAAAATGTCAAAAAAATGGGTTTATTTCACTTTTTTTTTTTTTAATACCCACTGCTACAACTAGCAGGCTATTCTACCATGAACATTCCTCCTTACAAGCAAGGCCAAGGTTAAAAAGAACTCCTTCCCTTGAGCTGAGGGACTAGCCAGCACAGTTCTTCCTTCACCTGTCTGTTTTCTCTCTTTGCTTTGGCTGGTTCCCCCATCACTGCCCAGCTTTGTAAAAGGATTTGAATAGTTAACTGATGTTATGGAAGTTGCTGGAAGAAAGGAAGTTGCAAACACTAATGCCACATTTTAATAGCTTGAGATGTATATTTATTCCCTCATTCTTCCTTTCTTCTTCCAAAATACACTCAGCCACATTGAGAATGTTGGAAAGGAAGCATGTTAACTTTGCTGCATGACACTGCTTTTTAACAATTGGAGMAAGAATCTCAGATGTGAACTCAGAGGCACAAGGGTGGTACAAGACAAGACACGGTTTTTCTTTCACCTAAGTCTAGAATGTAAGTCATTTGTGGTTTTGGAGTATTTCATTTTGTGCAATAATGAGAACTATGCTGATTTTGTTGTTTAATTTTCTTAAAATCCCAACCACTCCAAATTATTCACTTAGGATTTTGCCCCTCCCCAGTTCATGACTTCTTTAAAATTTTTATTTTTATTCAACTTAAATGCCAGAAAAAACAACTTCTTTGTTAACTGGTGTTTAGTGTCACCGTGTAGAATACTATTTCAAGTTCATCCTTATACTGATGAGGACTCAACACCACCAGATTTTGAATGGCCSACCGTGGTCTTTAAAACTTGTCTTTTGAACTATGTTCAGATCARTGGAGGCTGTTTTCCACCTTACAGAACAGAAATCCCATCATGCCATGCGTTTCATTTGACCACCTTTTGGGGCAGATGAATATCATGAGAGCTGAACTAGTCTTAGCAGACTACTTTTCCTTTTAAAAATACTCTTGGTTTAATTTGCAGTGTGACACAAATAGGAAAATAGGAGAGGAAATCAGCACACATATACTCAGAGCCCATTAGGTTCAAGACATATTTCTAGATACTGAAGCAAGACATAGAATAGAAATATGTGAAAAAATAAGTAACAAGAAA